AGAGAGAGAGCGCGCGCGAGAGAGAGAGAGAGCGCGCGCGCGCGAGAGAGAGAAAGAGACAACGAGAGCGGACAGAACTTCATCTAAACCGCAGCCTCTTGAACTAGGGCGATTATTCGACGTGAGGTTATGATATTAGCACTCTCAGCACTGTCATACGAATTCATGAGCACTTGCTTGTGCACCGATGCTGGCGTCGGCGTCTGAGCGAAACAGGGATGGGGAGTGGAGGGGTTAGCTAGATTAGCGGAGATGAAAAGAAACCGAAGCACTAACATCAGCATATCGTCAACCGAAATTCTAAAAATAGCTTACATCAATAGTAACCCTAATCCTTACCTTAATCCGAGTTCTGACCTAATCCTAATCTTAGCCCTAACCCTAACTCTAACTCTAACCCTAACACTAACTCTAACCCTAAAACCTCAATCATAAACGTAGCCGTAATTCTACCTCTAATGCTATCTGTAACCTTGACCTTGATCCTGACCCTAACCCTAACCCTAACCCAAACCCCAACACTAACCCTAACCCTAACCATAACCCTAACACTAACCACAACCATAACCCTAACCCTAACACCAACCCTGACAATGACCTTAAACGTAGTCCTAATTATGATCCGTGCCTATACCTTACCCAAACATTATCACATTGACGATAGCCGAACTGCAACCATAAAAAAAACATAAAAAACAACGTTAACATGAAAAATGTGTTAAGCCCAACCCTGTTCCTAATTTAATACAACATGAAAATGTAGCATGAGTAAATGAAACATGAGTATTGCGAGAGAGTATGACGCAAATTCCAAGCAAGCCTGGCATGTTCAAATTAAATCCTCACATCCCCCGAATCAATGCAAAAACATACCGCCAGGCTTATATACCGGTCGCTATGTTCAGATATTTTTCGCTATTGATTTTTATGCGATAGAAACGGATTTAGAATTAGAAGAAGGAATAATACAATTTTGAAATAAAGATTAGAGGCCAAATTAATCTGGTAATCGTAGCACGTTGATATATAATAAACTATAGATGGTTAACTACTATATTATGTAATAATCTATAATATAATACTATATATACTATTATACTATATTAATTATAATCACTACAGATGTATATAGTATACTATGAATTATGCAACTATAGTTCAAAGAGCTATTTAAACTCTCGCAACGACACTAGAACGAAATCGATTCAATAACAAGTAGTGATTCATATATTATATATATAGCTGGGAAGGTTGCGGGGGACATACACAGACACACACGTAGACTCTGCAGCTGGTTACACTAATGAATAGTGAGCGATTGGAAAGCATCGGGTACTCGTGTAACTATGGCGTGCGATGGGGGGAGGTGGAGGACGGGGGGAGGTGGAGGCAGGGGGAGGTGGAGGAGGGGAGTTACGCAGGAGGAGCTGCGGGCCTTGACGGGCCTGCTGTTCTACTGTTGTTGTTCGTTGCTGTGCCGCTGGCTGGTTTGCTGCTTTGACTTGTTGTGTATGCTGGGCTGAGCTGCTGATAACGGTTGATTGGTTGATCTGTGGGTGTTGTTGTTTGCTGCTGCTGATGAATTGTTGTGTGGTGCTCACTGCGTCAAGGCGCTAGCCGCTGCGCTGCTAACTACCCACTATACTGCTGCTCTGCTGCGTTGCTCGCGTTGTTGGTTGGTTGTTTGCTGCTGCTGATAAGGTTGATGCTTTGAATGTGACGATGTTGTTGTGCTGGCTGCTGCTGTTGGACTTGCGGAATTACTGCCTGCTGGTTGTTGTTGTTTGCTGCTTGCTGCTACTACTACTGTGTGCTGGCTGCTACATCTCACTGGCTGCTACTAGCTGACTGCTGCTGCTATACTACTGCTATGCTACTGCTACTGATGCTGGGGCTGCTTCTGGCTACTGCTACTGCTGCTGCTTACTGCTGCTGCTACTGCTGTGTGGGTGGGGTGGTGCTGCTGCTACTGCTGCTACTGCTGCTGCTGCTGCTACGACTACTATACTGCTGCTACTGCTACTGCTGCTGCTGCTGTTGTTGTTGCTGCTGCTGCTGTTAAGGTTGTTGTTGATGTTGTTGTTGCTGCTGCTGCTGCTACTCAATGTCACGGATAAGGTGGCATTGATTATGGGTGGTAATAATTGTGGGTTTATAAGGTGGCTATTCCTCTCCCTGTATTATATCAAGAGCTAATAAATACCTAGGTGTTTATTAGCGCTTGATTAAATGCTAATGTGAATAAGATGGTATAATTAGATGGTAATGTACGTAATATACATTACGATCTGTATAATAACATGCTTCTTCGCGTAAATTAATCCCCTAATGCAACACACGCACCCTGAGCCTATACTCAGTGATTAACTAGAAGAAACCTCATAAATTCCGAACAGAAACCTTATCACCGCCTGCCCACCTCCTCCCCGTGACGTCACGTGACACGTGACACGCGTCCTCGCACGTGACGGCGCAACCTAAGCTCGCGTGAAATGAACACGATATATATCGCATTCCTTGCTCATCGGTATGTAAGATGTGTAATTNAGGGGAGGGGAAGCTGGCGACCTTAGCGTCGGCGTGGGCTGCTGCTGCTACTGTTGTTGTTGTTGTTGTTGCTGCTGCTACGGTTGTTGCTGTTGCTGTTGCTACTGTTGTTGTTGTTGCTGCTGCTGATACGGTTGTTGCTGCTGCTGCTGCTGCTACTGTTGTTGTTGTAGCTACTGCTACTGCTACTACCACTACTACTGCTGCTGCTGTTGCTGCTGTTGCTGCTGTTGCTGCTGCTGTCGTGCTGCTGCTGCTACTGCTGCTGCTTGTTGTTGTTGTTGCATGCTGCTGCTACTGCTGATATTGTTGTTGTTACTGCTACTGCTGCTGCTACTACCACTACTACTGCTGCTGCTGTTGCTGCTGTTGTTGTTGTTGTTGCTGCTGCTGATAAG